GGAGAAGCTGCTCATATTGCGAGACCAATATTTATCTCTCGGTTCGGTTGATTTATTCGTGGCCGGTTCGCTCGTTAGTTCTCGTTATCATCTATTTCCATTATAATTACACTTCTCTCCACATTAATCCTTTTTTTTTTGGAAATTGCGCTGTAACACAAAGAACTAGAACGAAGCGTAACGTGTAATTATTTCTCTGTGGAGAGAATCAATAAATTAAACCCCTGGATTTTTGTCACGCAAACTTTTATAGTGGATAGTTTTCACATTTTAATAAAACATAATTTTTTTTAACGCAATTTTCCTGCTCTAAAAATTATCGGGATTTTTTCACGACTGATACTGGCGTTTCGCCAGCTCCTTAGAAGTTTAATCCACGATCAGGGTTTATTATCTGACCACATATTAAAACACACCCGAACGAATTTGTGAGAAATAACCTTTCGTCCCTATGTGTCATATTATAGTTTGCTGACCCCTTACACCAATACGCTAAAAACTAAAGTAATTGTTTAGATTAACATAAGAGCGAACGATGGAGGAGGACATAAAACCAAATGACGAGAAGCTGTATACTATAAGCAGAAAAATCCCATACTCAGCAAAAAATTTATAGATACGCCGCGCGGCACCTACAACATTTTATGACTATTTTTATACGTACTGTGTAGAATGGATAAAAAGTATCTATTTTTGCTACCAGTTTCCAGATTACTTTAGCGCTTGAAAAAAAAAGAACGCTTCAACTGCAAATTGCTTGTCTATGCAATATTGCTTCGAGCAAATAAGAAATTAATGCCATTGAGACTTTGCAAATCGCCACTTTAAAGTGATGCAATGTGCTCAAAAAAACCTTTAATGAGAACAGAGCTGGGCAGAATACTTTCAAAAAGTATTTGAATACTAAATAGTAAATATTTTACACAAATCAAAGGTATTCGAATACTTTGAAAAGTATTCGAATACAGTAAAAAGTATTCAAATACTTGTCACTCAAATACATTAAAAATTTAAAATAGTATACCAGATAAAAAATCAAGTTATACTTTGTATGGGGTTAGCTTTTTTTATATTTCTATTGTTATATACAAATTTAAGGTGAGTAAAAGCGTATTATTATTATTATATTATTATATAGGAGGTACCTACCAGGGCCTTTCTTATACCAGTTATATCCTTAAGAATACGTGTACCAGTTTTCAAAGCGATCGTACGTCGTGCACATGATACGTACGCCTTTCTGAAATTAATCCTAGCGATTTTGGAACAGATCCATTTTTGACTATCCGTTTGTCCGTGTGCATGATAACTTGTTTAGAAACGTGCGATCGCTTTGAAAATTGGAACACATGGTCTTAAGGATATAAAAAAGGTCCCTATTGTTTTTAAGTTACGTAGGCTATCGAGTTCGGTATTCAGATGTATCGGATTTTTATATTTGATTTTGTGACAATGGAAACTTTCCCTAAACATTTCTAAATTGTTCTCAAATATTTGAATAACTTAAAAGTACTGCCTTTTTTTGAGGCCGGAAAAAAAAATTGTCTGAGATCGAGATCGATCGAGAGTCCATAATTTCAAACAGTTTGAAGATTGGGCTACTAGATCAAAAGTTACAGCCCTTTGAATTTTTTTTCGAAATTTGTTTTTTGTCCATAACTATTTATTGAGAGGTCTAATCGAAAACGTACGAATTGTTTTGGATTCTACGCACCAAAATTAATAAGAAAAAGTGTTTTCCCGAGAAATTTTGGTGTAGTCGATTTTTGGTAAAAAAGGAAGGTTATACACTGCCTTTTTTTGAGCCCCGAAAAAAAAATTGTCTCAGATCGACCCGGAAAAAAAATTTTCTTATAGAATGTGGGCCTGTAGAATCCATAATTTCAAACAGTTCCAAGATTGGGCTACTAGTTCAAAAGTTACAGCCCTTTGAATTTTTTTTCGAAATTGGTTTCTAGTCTATAACTTTTGATTGAGAAGTCTGATCGAAAAAGTACGAATTGTTTTGGATTCTACGCACCAAAATTAATAAGAAAAAGTGTTTTCCCGAGAAATTTTGGTGTAGTCGATTTTTGGTAAAAAAGGAAGGTTATACACTGCCTTTTTTTGAGCCCCGAAAAAAAAATTGTCTCAGATCGACCCGGAAAAAAATTTTCTTATAGAATGTGGCCTGTAGAATCCATAATTTCAAACAGTTCCAAGATTGGGCTACTAGTTCAAAAGTTACAGCCCTTTGAATTTTCTTTCGAAATTGGTTTCTAGTCTATAACTTTTGATTGAGAAGTCTGATCGAAAAAGTACGAATTGTTTTGGATTCTACGCACCAAAATTAATAAGAAAAAGTGTTTTCCCGAGAAATTTTGGTGCAGTCGATTTTTGGTAAAAAAGGAAGGTTATGCACTGTCTTTTTTTGAGCCCCGAAAAAATAATTGTCTCAGATCGACCCGGAAAAAAAATTTTGATTGAGAAATCTGATCGAAAAAGTACGAATTGTTTTGGATTCTACGCACCAAAATTAATAAGAAAAAGTGTTTTCCCGAGAAATTTTGGTGCAGTCGATTTTTGGTAAAAAAGGAAGGTTATGCACTGTCTTTTTTTGAGCCCCGAAAAAATAATTGTCTCAGATCGACCCGGAAAAAAAATTTTGATTGAGAAATCTGATCGAAAAAGTACGAATTGTTTTGGATTCTACGCACCAAAATTACCTAATAAGAAAAAGTGTTTTCCCGAGAAATTTTGATGCAGTCGATTTTTGGTAAAAAAGGAAGGTTAGATATTGATTAGAGGTACGTTTAGTTAAGAATATCATTTACACCTCTCGTTTTTTTTATAGAATTACAGAACAAAATAGTGCTAACAATTTTCGACTTGAAAAAATCGATAAACTTTGAAAAGCATTATCTCGTAAACTATTACGTCTATAGAAACGGTTGTAGCCTCAAATTGTAAACAACTTAGTCTACTTTTAAAGCGTATTCATTAGTTATTTTCGACAAACTGGTCCTTGAGGGTTAAAATCGTCAAAATCTGAAAAGAAAACGAAAATTCCTCGGTTTTTAGTATATTTGACTATGTTGCGTTCGCCGCTCGAGGTCGAAAACTTGAATTATACATTGCGTTAACAACATAAGCAATCCCACAAAAAATCAGAACTACCGGATTTGACGCTTGGTACCCCCCATTTTTAGGAACAAAGTTACTGGACTATTATCAATTAGTAGTACGTAGTAATTATTGTTAAAAACAGAGCGTAAATATATTGTGCATTAGTCATGTTTACAAAGGAAATATTAGCGTAAACTAAAGAATTAGAGTTTCAAACAATTTATTTCCTTAATTGAGCCATTTTACAGATAGGAACTTGAAAAATATTTACAGGGCTTGACACAAGTGGAAACAAAAATAAATTACTCCTCAGCTTCGTATATCATTACTTACAGCAATCAATTTTACATCTATCATTATTTACATCGTCATTCACGTAGAAATAAATTCTCTTTCTCTTATCATCACAATATAATGTCTCTTTTGTTAAAATTGCACCAGTACTGTACAGAAAAACCCGACTTACTTTGTGACTAGGCTATTCATTACACTACGTAGGGTCTGTAAAGGGATTCGTCTTGAATTCGACGTGATTCAGTTTGCGTACTTGGTACTGGATCGGTGACGTCTTGACTAGATGAAGAGCTTGGTTTCGTAACTGAGGAGCTTGTGCTTAATTGCCTTTTTTCGCTCACATTGTCGTCCTTGCCAATTTTCGCTTCCTGTTGGGCCTTTTTACTTCGTTTCCATTTCATTCTTCTATTTTGGAACCATATTTTCACCTACGTACAAGATAAATGCGATTAGAATCGAACCGAAAATTAGTAAATTAAAGTCAGTCGGCTACCAAGATAAAACTTCTAAAGAAAGAAATAAACATAGATAAAATAGGGTGAACGTTCAGACGTGATAAATATATGTCACAATTCCAGCAGTTAGTCATTGCAATCCTAAAATATGACTTCTGTCTGTTTGTTTGTATTTCTACTTATCTTCGGCCATAACTTTTAGAGCGAAGAAGGTAGTATAGAGTCTGCTTTTAGAAATAGTTCACCCCGAGTACTTTGTACGCGCTACTTACCTGTGTTTCGGTTAGCATTAGACTCGTTGCGACCTCAAAGCGTTTTGGTCTCGATAGGTATTTATTCTGTCTGAATTGTTTCTCCAGCTCTAAAAGCTGCTGTGAAGTAAACGCGGTGCGAGGTCGGCGAGTTTTTCCTAAAATTGCATGTCCCGGTGCACAACCTGAAAAAAAAAGGGAGCAGCATTAGTAATGCGTACCTAATTGCTTGTGTGCCTGAAAACGTTGAAAGCTCTTTTTGGAAGCGACGACGCTAAATTAATTTATCGCCAAATGTCTCTAGCAGTATTCAAAATAAAAGCCAATTACAACTATACTAATATTTTTACAAGCGATTAGCATGTAAGGGGAATTCTTGATGCAATTATTCTTATTGAACGTTATTTATTTTCGTTCAACCATGTCAGAGCATCTCCTAAATGGATTATGCAATTACATTTGGAACATTGTCGACGTATTTGATTTATAAAATGCACGTTTCCAAATTAGTAAAAGGTCATTATTTCGTTTACCTTTCATTTACGTGCGGCACAAAAACATTTGAACGATTTTGGCATAGCCATTGCCTATAAACACGTAAACGTAAGGTAAACAAGACGGGGTTCTTGTTTAGAAGAGCGTAAGGCTTTACCGTCGTTTCGACAAAAGACCGTAAAATTAGGGGTGTCGTTAAATGTATTAGGATATTAAATTATCATGACAATAGGACAATCAGAGGGTTGTAGTGATAAATATACGACAAACATACGTCCCTTCTGGCCACAGGGTTTATACGCAATATGGTATCAAATTATATAGAACATTTTCTACAATGAATAATTAAATATAAATTAAAAATCCGTGCAGAATTCTTTATGCAATGTGGAGTACTGTAGAAAAAGTGTTTTTACACATAGGTATACTGCACATAGTACCTACCCCTAAACCCTAAACTACATACGGTTGAAAATATTATCCTTTTGACTTTTGCAGTATGAATACTAGTCGGTGCCGTATTCTGCTTTAACTGGATTTGGACTATCGAGTGATAAAACATCATCCCCCTTACTAATCACGTTTAGAACAACACTTATAATATTGTGCTAGAATATTAATATTGTAATTATTTCTTTTATGTTATTTTATTAATTAAATTATATACTGATTTGATTTTTTATACCATATACTTTTAACGGGTTACCATTTTTCCATTTTAAATTTAATTATAATTTTAATTTTAATTAATTATAAAGAGATGTGTGTATTATAAATTATAATAGTTATCTATTATACAAGACGACAAATGGGCATTTTAACCATTATTGAACGTCAGTTTATATCGTGGATTTAGAATAAGAATGACAGGTGTCATTAGAATGCACAATCATTTGTTTCACTTTATCTATCAGAACGGTTAAAGTGATCATTTTATCTATCCTTACGGTTAAAGAACGGCTTAGCCTACTCATTCAAACCTATTAAATTGTCAATTTAACATGTGCCATAAAATAAATAATTTTACAGTGTAGCAAATGTTTATTTAATTATAACAGTGTAGAAGTGAAAGTATGTTTAGCAGACAGGCGTGTAATAGAGGAATATGCATTTTTTAAAAGTAGTGCGCTACATCAGAAACATTAGCATTCGTAGCCTGGTGGGTAGAGTAAAAGTACGTTGATTACGTTTTAAAACATTACGCTTCGCTTTTAGCGCGTTAGAAAAATGTTGAGAATTTTGTACACATCCTGTATTATGTGTTGTAAAATTCCTCCGTTAGATGCCTGTTGTCCTCCCCATCCTTTGAAATTAAATCCCTTCTCAATCCCTCACCTGAGGAACTTAATTCCTGCATCTCTTATCGACCAGAAACCAGACCCGGATTCATTAGTACATCCCAGATTAGAAATCCAGAATTCCTTCTAATTTATTGCCGTTTGTTTCCATTCACAGGTTTCATTATTCCCCAGACCTCTTAATTTGGTTGCTAGTTTTATTTGGCGTCTTACTCACTGGTATCATTAATCTTTGTAGGGTTAATTCCCTGTGGGCTTTACGCTACCTGATACAGCCTTGGTATTTCAAGCATTTGGACGGACTTGAAGCCAGGTATCCTCATCTCTGCGCTTGCGTCCGATTCCACTGACTTTGAGGAGGAGTCTCTCAAACCGTGTGGAAGTTTCCTTTAAAGCCCGTCGCCAGGTAATTCCTTTGTTGACCTTATTTGAGAACCAGAGGGGCAATATTCTATTCCGTTTAAGTAAACTAAAACTAAATCCGGTCGTTTCTATAAGGAAATCTCTTATCTCTACGTAAGCTAATTAGTTTTAAGTTAAGAAAACATAGGTACTGTTCTGTATTCGAAGATAACTCAGTAGTTTGTTAAGGGCGAAGGAAAGAAAACGGAAGGGAAAGAATGTTTTAACTAGACGAAGCAGACGTTAATCGTTGCTTTTTGGTGGCGAACGTTAATCGTTGCTTCTTCTTGGTTTGGTGAAAGTCGTAGTCGTATTTTATGCAAGACACGTCAGCTTTTCCAGTTATAAACTTGTAGAAGAAAGTTTAGTGCTCTTAGAGGTTTTTATTGCGCCCTTTAAAGTGAATGTCGAGTTAAATAAGTGAATCTTACGAAGGGGCTAGTCGTACATTTTTATCGCTTACGTGAAGCAATTCCAAGCATCAGTTAAAGGGGGCCAATTTTACATCTGTTATTACAACGAACCCAGTGTTGTCTAAATCGAAATTTAAGTGCAAGTACCGAAGTGAAGTTGAAGAATTTGGAAATTTTAATCCGGCAAATTAAGTAAGTGTAATTAACGGTAGCTCATCAAATGAGTTGCATCAGAACCATTCGTGAGTGGTCTCATTAGAAGCGCGCTTAATTTAATTGAGCTAAATTTTAAAGTCAACTGCAGATTTTTATGTATAGCAGGCCGCATAATTAAATAAAAGTTATAATTTTTCGACGTGAACAATCGAATATGCTGCGTCGGCTGGTAAAACCGTCGATCCCTCCATGAAATGCCCGAATGTTATAAAAAGTAAAGTCATTGTTTAAAGGGGATCTTTTTGCCTTTGGCAAGAATCTTTTCACCGTTACGTTAAATTTAAACGTAAGAGTTTGATAGCTTCAGTTTGCATTTGATTTTCCGTGGCTACCGCCAATTTTACTCAGTATTCAAGAGGGTTGATTTTTGGAGAACTATTTATTCGCGTTTTGAGACTCAAGGCGTCCAGGAGAGGTTCGCGTCTTGATCGCAGTTTAGCTTATTAACGTTGTATTAAAAGTAACCGAGTTAAGGTCCCATCTTCAAAAAGTTAAACCGTTTTGACCGGGAACCATAAGTTCAGAAATTTACGGAAGTTTAAAGTTCATAAAGAAAGTTAGTGTTTAGTTTGGTAGTAGCACCAGAAGTATAACTTTCGAATATGGTAATAAAGGTTTCGTTTTTGTGTTAAAAGTGTGTAGTGCAGTTTGGTTATATTCCTGACCGATGTAGGAAATTTAGGTTTTTTGAGTCGCCTTCAATAAATTACGCTAAAAACTTAATCCGAAATTTGTATTATGTGAATGTGACGCATAATAAACATTCTTTTGATAAAACGCGATAAAAAAGAATTTATCCGCATTCAATTACGGTGAACCATTTCCGGACGAGAAGCTCACGAGTAAACTCGTTATATTTCACGAAAGAACTTTATTACGTCAACAAAAATAAATGAACGAAAACTTCCCCTTTTCTTTAAAAAATGGTACCAAATAAAGAAAGTTTCCTGGCATTACCACGAACAATAACAACCCCCCAACGTTTTACTATATTCGAAATTTCTCCCCGGAGTCTTCAGTTCAATTGATTTAACTTCATCTCGTCAGAGGAAGTGGGGGTAGGTAAAAAATGAATTAAGAATTTCACCCCGTGAAAATGGGAAGCCTATTTCAAACCACGGCAGCGCATTTCTTTTATTTGTGGAAATTCAATGAAATGAGTATATGCGTTTGCGAGAATGCTTTGCCTCTGTCCATTTATGTGTGGTTTTAATATGCATAAGGCAGTATAGTAATTTGTTTTGTTATTATCATTTACAAAATTAAAATTTTGAATCTCAATTTCACTTTGGATGTGACTCTGTACACTTTTTAATTCAATGCATTGTAACTGGCTGTCAGTTAGCCGCTTTAAGAAATTTTGTTTTGAATTTGTATTTTTTAAACAGAAAAATTTACATATACCGCTTAATAGCGAACATGAACAAATGTATGTGCGAGCGCGGTTGCCGCAGTCTCTTCGAACCTAAGAGTTTAGTCACGTTCTGTTTAAACCCGAACACGTGACAAAAATACATGTTTACTAATCGTTTAAAAAGGTACACTAGTGGAAGTCGATGCGTTCAGAAAATAAGTCCTGTTTCAGAACTTCTAACAGGCGAGATTTAAACAGCGAGAGAAGTGCGACAATGGGAATTATAAGCTTGATTCTTGGCAACGTATTATTTTGAGTGCATTTAAATATTTGATTCTAACCTGAAATTGAATTCTTACTGAAGTTTCCAGCGTGAGCCCGTCCCAATGTAGGGAGCAACCAAGGACGATATTGGCGTGTAAAAAAATTGATTCGCGGTCGAAATTTGTTTTGATGCGTTGTGAAAAATATCCTCGCGTATGATTGAAAATTCGTGGTGCGATTTTAAGAACCAGAACGTGTGTTTACTGAGTGTAATCTATCTGAATGGTAGTAAAGAATTAGCAGTTTAAGTCCTACATTTCTAGTACGTCGGCGTCGTGAAACATTTAAAGAACTTCGGGTTTGTGATAAATTGAGAGTTACCTGTAATGTTATACAGGGTGTCAATTTTAAAACTTGCAGTCGGCCATATTTCCCAAACTAAGGAAGATATTGAAAATCGCGAAAAACCGTTTCGGGGGTATCGAGGGGGAACCAGAATGACGTTATGAGTGACAAACCCCCAACCCCCTTAACCCCCGAGCCCCCCCTCTTCATAAATCCTAAATGGAAACCCCATACTTGTGATAGGCATCAATTTAACTTAATGTAACCTTGGGTTCTCAAGAGGTCTGCAACAAAAGAGGTCCTATTCCCATTACACCCGTTACTCTCGTAATCAAACTTATTTTTTAATTCAGTTTAGACATATAAATTTAAAGACGAGGAGATGCAAAGATGCATTA